ATAGCTGTTAAATAACTTGGATATAACGTAGGGATGAATAGCCACGCAGGAAGTTAGATCTATACAGGCCAGAGTGATTACGAAGCAGTTGGCAGTGGTTCGAACCTTACGAACGCTGTATATCCAGATCACAATCAGGTTACCGGGGATACCTATTATCATCAGAAGACACATAAACGATAGCAAGGGAACACTCCGTATAACCATTTCATCATTTAGCTGGTCGATTGTCTTTTTCCAGCAAATAAAATCGCATGAAGCAAAGGAGGAATTGTTGCTAGTATTCATTATGATAAATACAATTTTTCACGAACATCTGAAATGAAAAGAAAGTTTTTTTATAATTGTATGTGATAAACTCAAAACCCATCATTTTTTTTACAATTATCCGTTTTCTGATGGACGTTTCAATATCCTTATTTTATTTTATTTTTAATGAGATTTTTCAATTAATATTTCATTTTTTGTTTACTGTAAAAAATTTATTCAGTTTTTTGTTTGCTACGGTATTAAAGCATTCAAAGTAGTTAAGGTAATAAAAACATACTAAAACACTGAAATATCATAACCGCCAGATCACATAAGACTAAAACAGACTTACCGGAGAATATCAATGAAAAACATTTAAGCTGTATTACTAGCAATATCGCAGATACGTATAGAACTAACGTTCGGTTATGTCAGAATACCATCAAACGGTTGAAGATGATGTAACAGAAATGAATAATGTTATTCCTGAAGTATTTTGCCGAATAAAGTCATAATAAATCACAATGTGCGCAGGATGTTTTTGGCTTCCTATGAGGATCAATGGACATCTACAAAATGAATTACTTTTCTACGAGTATGACTTTTGTTCATAAAATATCAACACTGTCTTAATTACAAAGGTTTTTTCTAACCTTTCACATCATTATCATTCCACGAAAAAAAGAGAGTAAATGCCTTTATCTGGATAACTGATAATTCCATGTAGTTTTGCGTTGAGGTTTCTCAATATTTCAGGACACTAGTATCTCATCTTAGTGAGCAGATGATGTATCTTCTATGCATCATAACAAAACACTTTTCCTAGAAAATATCTATTGACATTAGAACGTATGAATTCCAACTTACCAACGTTTAGATGTCCAAATAACGGTAATGTATTTCCTTGTACACCTTTCAATTAATCAAAATCAATCACCGACTCCAACTTCCGAAGAGCCACAGGATATAAGTGCGTGCGGCATGGCAATCATCACGGTAGGTATGTCATCGCTTGGAGCGTTCGCGGCGTTTTCAATATAGCCTTAGTAGTAACGAGCGATCGATAACGGGCGATTCCTCTATCAATAGAGAACCAATCGCGTTCCCTTACTATCAGTCATATTGCGTATACATCGTGTATTTGCTAAACCACTGGGAATTGTCTCTGATCGTATCGTCAACTGATGTTGATATTAAACGCTATTGTTCATACTGACTACAAATCACTGAAAATGTAATACCTCTTGAGAGAGATACTATGATACTCATAACGAGAGATCTGAAAGCTGATTCTTATCTGCATCTGAATGGACATAAGCTGATTCAATTGTATGCATATTGTACTATTGAAAACAGTTGTTCGGCTTCCTGTATCGAGTGGTATAGGTGCAATCATTTGTTAATGTCTTCTGTACATCTTTTTTAGATATTGGTTGGTGGAGTATGTCGGCAGGTTTTTAGCCCCAACAGTTTTATAAATTGCCACAGTAATATCCTTTAAGAAGTGGAACGAATCTGCATACACACTCTTTACTCATTATCAATTTCATATTTACCAATGCTCCTATCAACGCTTTGAATTGCATTTAGTTAAGAGGGCTTCCTTTTCCCATTTGTATTTTGAATGCAGTTTAGACAAATACGGGTTTCCAAGATTGTTTTTGTTTAACTCCTTGCATTACAGATGAGTCTTAGCAGTACAAAACAGTTTAATGGTGAAGTGTACTTCAAATTGTGCATGCTGTTTCACTATCACCTAATTTTATGTGTTTCAAGTGTCTTACGTTTGACATTTCATATTTGTGTTTCAATTTGTATTGTATTTCTACTGATTATTTCATTTAGAAAGTCGGTAAACTCTGCTTATGGATCATCAATGCCTGAGGTTGGCCGTAAACTTCAAGTTGGAAATTTATTCCTACTTGGTTTACATTAATATACTAGCTTACAATATACCATACTAATGGAAAAAAGTAACGAAACTTTAATTGTGGCTTTACACTTCCCCTATTTGTCAGTATGATTGATCCTCCGGGTGACAGAGAGGTATCGCCACAAATTGGTGTATGTCTACAAAGCATAACCTTGCTGTACGTTTTTATCAAATAAAGACAAAATTCAGGCATCTTGCACCTGTTATAAACTTGAAAACCATTCAAACACGAACTCCTGATCTGCACAGATACAATGCACAACGAGTTAGTACAAAAACCAGTAATAACCAGAATACGGCGGACGTCTGTGGTTGTGAGAGGAATTGCACTTATTTTGCAGTTTGGTGTTCATGCATCAACCATTGCCCATTTAGTTAGACGTCGAAGACACTCTGGACGTTAACAACCCGACCCAGAAGAAGACGTCCATGCATAATGTCTGGACGTCAAGACAGAGCGCGAGAATGTCTCATACCCGGAATCGTTTTCGGGACTTACAGCACTAAATCAGCCAATCAGCAAGTGTTACATACGATTGTAATCCCTACCTTTTTTCCCCCGATTAAACACAGTGCCTCTGGATAAGTTAAATGGGTAATTGTTGACATATTTTTCATTGAATGAATTCTATAGATATTTAACTTTAAATAAACGTATAGTTTTAGTAGATTTTAATAAATGATGGCGGATTGATATGGGGTCAAAAGTAAGGGGGTGTTCCCGGTCCACTTCAACGGTTTGGCTTGTAAACGTCTGGTTGTCAAAAGCAGACACCTGTAGCACTCTTATATGCCACTAACCTCGCCAAAAACGTCTTTTGGAGCCTTTTTCTGGTATGGATCTATAGATATAGACAGTTGTCACTAGTGCTGAACTTCAAATATAAAAGCTATTAGCTCAAAAGCATAGTAATAACACATAGTAAATGAGGTAAACGGCGAACAATTGGTAATTGATATTCATGGACGCCGAGTGTGCCCGAGAAGTCGGTTGAACCGCTCTTTACAAATGCTCGAATAAGGGTAAAATTTTCAACCTTAATTTTGCATCGATATTAGAAATATTTTATTCAATATAGTTCTAGGTCGTTAAATACTGATAATTAATCCTTGGAAATGCTTTAATTAGTTTTTTATCAGTCACAACGGCCCAAAAAAATCACAAAGTTTTTTCGAAATTGAATCAATGTTACCTTACTAATTTCAGCTTATTTTAGCGAACTGAAAATATACATTACTAGAATTAAAACAGAGCAACGCTTTGATAATCTGTGAACCAACAATATCTGTAGTAAAAAAATATACAAAAAAATAAACGAGCACAATGATATGAAGCGCAATATTATGAAGCGAAAAGCGCTTCAAGAAGTTACCGCTTAATAATGTATGTTAATAGTTTACTTTTAGTCTGAAATTCATTGTTTTGTTATTTATATGTGCATATACACAATTAAAATTAGATATTTCTTTAATGTTATTTTTATTTATTGATTTATTTAATATCATTTTTTATTTTTATTTAATATCTACGTGCTTCACCAAACATTACGTGACAAAATAACGCAGTTCACCACAGCATGGGACATAATGTGACATTAAAAACATGTCATAAACAGAACGAAAGGATGTTAATTTATTCGTTTGTGTGAAAGTTCTTTTACAATTAGCAATATATGAACTCAAATAGATTCAAATGAATAATAGTGTCAATCATGCTAATTGATGCTAGTTCGTCAAAAGTGAAACATTTCAAATGAAAAATAATATTACATTCAAGATAGACGCATGGTTAATGCAAAGGTGGTTTTTTTTTAAAGAATGACTAAGGGCCAATTAAAACATTCGCGATCACCACTTTTATCTTGTGTATCACGTATTATTTCATATGATTAATCTTATTTAAAATTGTATTTTCTTCGTGTAATTTATAAACAATATTCATTTATGACCATAACAGGTTTTGTTGGTGGGAATACCGGAGAAAATCACCGACCTGAGGCCAGTACCTAGCGACTGCCTCGAACGAACAACCCAGGGGTATAGGGCTATCAATCGTATATACTACAGACTTTACAATATTCGACTCCTTGATAACGTCACATTCCGGATACTCGGCAAACTAAACCCTGTGCAAAAATGTCACGTTTCGTAGTAACAACAGCCTACCTGTCACGTTTCGTAGTAACAACAGCATACCTGTTGTGAAGCAAATGTTTATAACAAACTTATTATTCTCTTAACAAGCATTTGTCGCAAGTCTATTATCATCATTACTTGTACGGTATTTCATTGTCAATGAATTAAATCTCAAATCCTGTCCACAACTAACTAAAAAGAGAATTTATCGCACAATCACTCAAAGTCTAGTTTTAGTCAAGAAACATGTACAACGTTCATTTTGTACTAAATGCACTTCTCTTCAAAGAGTAAAGTACGACACACACAAGTGGAAGAGCCTATAGAATTTTATGATTGATACTGTATCCTAAATATTAATCATACTGCACTATACAGCGGTTCGTTCTTCAAGAAGCATTGGTAAACATCAAACAAATTAATTACATTTAACATATTTAAGTAAAATTCCTTATATACCAGTTGATTTTTGGAACAAGGTTTAAAACATATATTTGCGAAACCTAGTTTTACTGCCAACATTTTTTATTTGAAACTATATAGGGGTTTGGAAATTAGGAAGGGAGATGTTCGTTTAAACGGACATTCTTGAAAGACGGTTGCAGGGAGCTAGGTGCCAAATGAAAAGGGAGAATTATATCGGGGTTTATTGGATGTAAATTAAATTGAACATGGTACTTACTTTATCTTCAGTTAAACACTGTACTGTAGTTGTTGTTTCGTCACATTCCCTATCACTCTTTTTCCGGGAACAACCTTCACAATCAATACCCTGATTGAAAAGATCCTGTCCTACAATATGATAGATAAATAAAGTAAACATTAATATTGAGATGTTGTCGGGAAATTCGAATATTATGAAAAGCCCTACTCTCTAAAAGAGCTTCACGCTAAACTATTTAAAAGTTTGTTGTGAGATGACTTACTAGATACAGCTAACAGAAATAGCTAACGCTTATGCTGACAATCACATCCTAGGGAAATAACCATTGCTACTTATAGAAAATATATTGAAATATTTTTAGTACTTAATGAACTATCTAAGAGAAACAACTGTTAATAAGTCATAAGTGCAGTGCATAGTGTTAAATAAAAATTGATCAATTTTAATGAGAAGTATAAGAACTGTTTAATATTCCTACCAGTGCATCCACCAAAGTCAGATACGTCCTGAATTGGAAGATTGTTTTTGTTCGCACAATACGCGTCCAGCACGCTGACGCCAAATGCTGTTGACATGAAGTCGTACCATTGTTTGAACTTCCTCATCTCGCAATCACAAATAAGACCGGTGTTTCCGGTAAAAGCACTGTATGGAAAGATAACAAAAATGTTTAAGTAAGAATATACTTTGTAAGATGTATACCATCAGCTTTAAATATTCATGCTTGCAATGCCTGTGAGGACATGCTTTTTGTTGTTTAGGTCTTTCATTTAACAGTGAGTATGAATCTGAATAAATTCAGACTGTGCACATTGTATGAAAATAATTCACTAAAAATTTGATAAAGGGTAACAATGAAATTCATATATCAGAAAAGGTTCACAAAGAAATGTATTATGATTTATATTATTTGTTTAAATTGTATGAATAGTAAAACACTTGCATCTGGTTGATTTTGGTCAGGGTAACGAAAGAATCGCCAACTACTCTTGAAATCTGGTTATTTGAAAGGTCCCTGAAAGTATAAAGAATCGGCACTAGTATATTTAAACATGACCATACAATTATGAGGCAGGACAACGAGAGGTTTTAAGTAAATATCATTATAAAACCTCTTTAAAAACTTTGTTAAAATAAGACTTGAAGATAAGGCGAAAAGGTCAGTCAACTGTAGCCATCTTTGATTTTGGGTTGGCAAAAAAATTAATCAAATTGCCCATGGGAGGATCCTTCGTGCTTCTTTTCGTTAAAAATATACCCAATGATCTAGAGAAGTTGAAACATTTTGGTCAATAAGAGCACAATGCGAAGAAATAATGATATCTACTCAGTGTCGTCAGAGGAACGTTTATAACCAGCCAGGTTAAAATTAGCCCTGTGGAATTTCAGACGTACTAAATGACACACCAATCTTGAATTTCGAATCTGCCCGAAATAATACTATGTCAAGCCAATGGAAGAAAACAATATACAACGCTCAGCAAAAACCAATCAGATAGAAATTAAGATCTCGAAAGTCACAACAAATCAGAAGTTGTAAAGGAATTTTTAATCGAACTGAATAAAACAAAAAAGTGTAAAAAAACGCGATATTTAGTATAGAAATAATGTCGTACATTTTGGATAGTTACATTAAAAGTTGGATTTAACTCAGTGTGACTCCTACGCAAGTAGTTCATACGTAGTTGGGGTATGAATGCATTTCGATTCGATGGTTGCGAGTACTAATCTATGGGTATCATACAATTGGTTTGGTTTGGTTTGTTTGTGTTTTACGTCCTATTAACAGCTATGGTCATTAAAGGACGTGCCAGGTTTTGATGGTGGAGGAAAGCCGGAGTTCCCGGAATAAAACCACCGACCAACGGCCAGTACCTGGCGACTGCCCCACGTAGGTCTCGATCTCGATATATGGGTGTCATATATCTGCATTTGTCTGGAACTTTTAGAGTGATTTTAAGTTATTTTTAGCAATAAATACCTGTATCTGTATCATGTCATATAAATCAAATCCAAGCAATGTCAAGTTCTCAAATGGGGAATCGATGACATCACAAGACATACTAACTGGCATAGTCAAAATATCGACTTTATATCACGCAAGGAAATAGAAGATTTTCTGATACTTACAGTGTTGCAAGGTTAGACAAATATCGGAACATTGTAGATTCAATCCTTGTTAATAAGTTGTTCTGCAAGTTCCTGTAAAATAATAAAAAATAATTAAATAAAGGTATGCATTAGATTGCTTTAACAATCTGTTTGCAGTAGTTATGATATTTATCAATATCATCAAATATTACGTTTGAGCATTGGATCATAAAGGTAAAATATTTAAAATATATACTGGTAAATATAATTTAGTAGCCGTGCTTGGATATATCCTTCCGCGATATGTTTTCCCGTTTGCTCTGTCTTGTTTTTTTTAATCCCTTTTTCCGAAACGGAGTTAACAAATTTCAAAATATCTTTGTTTTCAGATATGCTTTTCGGAATTGATTGATGTTTTCCATTCCGCCAATATAATACCAAATTTCTTAAACGATATACATCCGATACCTTTCGAATTTCGAAGAAAGCAAATGCCTTCCGAGTGATAAAAAGTTGTTTCATACAGAACATGGATATCCAGAATAAAATATTCCGAATTACACCTATTGCGAATGAGTCAGAAAAAGATTACTTGGTTAATACCAACTCGTAAAATAATAGTTGTAAATCATTTGGTTGTAGTTTTAATCCTAAGTTCATATTCCATGTGCTTAATACATCATGACGAACTCTGCAATGATTTTTTACATATCGATGTAAACCCTGTACATGCTAGACTGTGGCACTGACAAATTAAGTTGTGGTTGGTTACAGTAACTGAAATTTAATTTGCATGGCAATAAAACTGCAAAAACAAGCAACATTAAGAATGGTTCGATTGATGTTAAGGTTGTTTGTTTCCTTACACATAATACTTGTGCTCAATATTAAAATTATCCCCCTTATATTTTTATAAATAATCTTTGCCTACTACTTCACGATTACCTAATAACATTAGTACTTGCGTATTTGAGAAAGTTTCAGATTTATTATCAGATTTAAAATTAAGGTACCAGCTTTATACTGAATCATCTCCTCAATATACAGTACAAGTACAATTCCCCGAAGGGCAAGTGTATAAAAACCCAGTACTAAAACGGTTCTTTGTCGTATCTCTTTAAATCTCAATCCAATATTTATTTGAATATTTTGTAGCTTAACGAAAGCCTATATTATATTTAAATTATATAATAATAAAAGGAACATACAGGGTCCTGAGGCTGTATAGCTGATCAAAGCTTCCACCAGCTATATTCTTGATCCTGTTATCGTTGATATGTCTGAAATAGCATACATTGTAATTACATTTAACTAATAAAAAGACATTTTAACTGCTAAAATAGTTCTAAAGCAAATTAAATTAAAAAGATCCCTGTTCTTAGGGATATTGCTGGGGTCACTGAATATCGCATCCCTTGGTAATGAAACTGTTATCAAATGACGTCGATTTACTTGATACCTTTCTTTACAAACAAAGTGTAATTGAAATTGGATATTTACCAATCGATATCAAGGATATACCTTAGGGTAAACAAGCTCCTCATCAATTTATTTAAGTAAAATAAATAAATAAATAAAATACATACAGGATCTTATATCAGTTTCCATTTCATATGAGAGATATGAAATCAGTTTAAATACTTTCAATTTATCGGGCCCCTGGCGAGCTAAAATGAAAAAAAAAACTCGTGACGAGTTTCATAAATATCATAGGAAATGAAAACCAGTGTAAGATCCTGTTTATCACATAATCAAGATTTGTTGTATTTATGCGTGTAAAACAATGTATTTTCATGCAACCTTCAAATGTAAAAAGCCGCCCTTTTGACTCCAGTGCATAAGTCTGTGACGTCATGAACTTGTTCTAGGCGTGACGTCACAATTGAAACAATTGAAACTTACAACCAATCACAGGGCTGATAAGTCATATTACATAGGTTTATACGCAGAAAGTATGACACGGGTATATTCACTCGATAACACAGTACATTATGTGATTTGAAAAATATGAACCGGAGTACTCGTCTCTAAGACTACCGAGGTCATAACATCAATACATGTTTATTTTTCTAAAATCGCCTGTTAATAATATGTATTAAAAATGTCAATGAAATAAGTTTCATAAATAAAAGTGCTTTGATCACCTTCGTTACAAATTGTATTGCAAAAGTCTTTTCCACAACCACTTTTGTGAAATTCATACATGATTTCTTAAATTTTATAAAATCATATGTATGAAATCTTGCTTTTACATATTTTCATAATCAAGTGTGATTTTAGCACCACAGTTATATAAAGTTATAGAATCTTGCTCAAATGCTAAACGTTACATACATCTAGCACAACTGGAGATGTTGAAAAAATGCATACTTACAACGTTTCTAGTAAATGTAGATTAAGGAAGTTTCCTGAATTAATCCATGTTATCATATTGTTTTTCAACATCCTGAAAAGAAAAAGGAAAGTTCAAGGTTACAGCAATATATATATAACTTATAACTCAAAATGAAAAATGAAAGGACTACGATGAAGACTCCTACTAAGAGGTTGAATAATTCAACGATAATTTGAATAATAAAACACTAATATCAAACAAAGGGCAAAATAATATCGAACAAAGAATATGTATAAATATAAATGATATATGTTATTTAGAACATTTGATTGGATAGGAAAAGAGAAAGTGAGATATATGAAAAATACAGACGTGGAGAAACAGCAAGAGAGAGTGACAGATCGAGATAAGAGCAGACAGATACAGAGGCAGAGAGACACACATACAGAGAGCAACAGACATACTGACAGATACAGAGGCAGAGAGAGACACATACACAAAACAAGAGACCAACAGGCAGATACAGAAGCAGAGAGAGACACATACAGAGGACAAGACACTAACAGACAGATACAGAGGCAGAGAGAGTCATATACAGAGGCCAAGACACTAACAGACAGATACAGAGGCAGATAGAGTCATATACACAGGGCAATAGACCAACAGACAGATACAGAGGCAGAGAGAGACACATATAGAGGGCAAGACACTAACAGACAGATACATAGGCAGGGGAGTCATATACAGAGGGCAAGACACTAACAGACAGATACAGAGACAGAGAGAGTCATATACAGAGGGCAAGAGACCAACAGACAGAAACAGACGCAGAGAGATATAAACAGAGGGCAAGACACTAACCGACAGATACAGAGACAGAGAGAGTCATATACAGAGGGCAAGAGACCAACAGACAGAAACAGAGGCAGAGAGCGTCATATACAGAGGGCAAGACACTAACAGACAGATACAGAGGCAGAAAGAGACACATATAAACGGCAAGGGACAGACAGACAGATACAGAGGCAGAAAGAGACACATACAAAGGGCAAGAGACAGACAGACAGATACAGAGGCAGATAGAGACAATAAACAAAGGGCAGGAGACAGACAGACAGACAGATACAGAGGGGAACGAGACAGACAGAAACAGCTAGATCATTGTTATTTTTCAATTAATACGCTTATTTCAAAATGTCGAGTTCGGTATTAGGAAGACTAGGAAAGTGTTGAAGGATAAAATAACAAGATCCACGCCCTAAACGAGGATGTACACGTGCGAATTGCAGCGACGCTACCTGGTTAATTAATCCGCTTGTCACCTGTTGAGACCTTAACTGGATGTGGTACCACCTTACTTATGTTATCACAATTGTATAGTGTCGAGTTAAAATTCTTTCAAAAACATTGTAGTTTATGTTCCTGATATGAAAAATATAACTTTACATGTGTTTGGTATCGTGTGTTTTGGTCGAGAGAATGCATTATTATAATTATGTTTGGTTGAAACTATTAACTTGTGCACTGGAGTAAACACTGTCGAGCACTGGAGGTCACATCCATGTGCACTGGAGTTAACTTCAGTGCAAAAGACAATTTTCTTTATCACATTATGTCTGACCTTTCCAACAGTATATACATGCTTTGATTTTCTCCCCTCCCACCTGCTCAAAAAAAGAAAGAAAGAAAGAAAGAATAATAATAAATATTAGATGTTACCTTATATATATTCATATACTTGTTATTGATTGATCTAAGCAGTATCCTTTAACGAAAGAAGTATGCGTTGAGATATAATATACTAACCTATTAAATTATACTAACATACCAACTTGGATCCGTGGTACATGTATAAACATGTATTGGTGGTCTATAATTTATAATACTTTGTCTTATAGACATATTCATTAAAATTAATATAATAGTTTTAACAGTATTAGGTCTACATAAAAAACATGTCTGTATATAATTGGTATGTTATACACAAGTCTTTTTCTGTATGTTCATTAAAAAAAAGGAAAGTTCGTGCATGTAGGTAACTACATGTATTGTAAATAAGAAAGAAATACTATGTATGTTATATATTCCGTCTTTGCGTATTACATAGTTATCTGCTCTTGTGAGCAGGTATTGATTGGTATGTCATGCGTTTGTGAGAGTAACGTCATCAATTTTTGAGAAAATGACGTAATTTTCTCACACAAACCACTGACGTTACAATCAATACCTGCTCACAAGAGAAGATAACTCTGCAATACGCAAAGACGGAATAGTTACTTGAATGCAGATCTGCATTCCAACAAAACATTCATTTTAAATATGTAGTTATTCAAATTGATTTCTACATGTAAATTTAACATGTCTGAATCCTGGCAAGCACAGGTGAAACTTTGGTTGACATGCCACTAGGTATAGGGGTCTGATGTCAAATTACGTTGACCTACTGATCAGGACACAGGGGAGAAGTCAGAGTAGAAGATATAATGGTTGTGGTGGTGGGTAATCATAGCACGGTACCAGCTGTTAAACTTTCTTGTTTCTTTTCTCTCTCTGTCTCTGTATGAGGGTCCTGACATCCCGAGATTCATGCACCAATTATATGTATTATGTACAGGGGCGGATCTATATTTTTGCAGGGAGATATTGCCATTTAAGGGTAAATCTTTTCTATTTGATTTTTCTTATTCTTAAATAAATAAACAAAAAATCATTTTGATCTTATAGTAAGTGTATAGGTTTCCATTACAGAATTATATGTCATCGAAGTCCGTGTTTTAGTAAGAAAACATACTTAACTACATGCAAGTCTATCAGGTAAAAAGTACCCTTACAATGTCTAAAAAAGAGATGCAATTGTTTATTATCCAATCAAAATAAACACCTAGTGTTGTTGTCAGAGAGCATGGTAAGGTCATCTTGCCATCAAGTAGTGCATAAAGAATACCCAAGTGATATACATGATATGTATGTATTTCTTTTATAAAATTCTTTTATTAATAAACCATAAATGATAAACGATCCCAGTCCTAGGATCATTTTTGTAAAGAACAGATATGATTGTTAGTTTTAAAAATATGTGCATTCATTTATTGATTTAATCTTTTTAATTAACCTTCTCGATTTATTTTGGAAGTTTTCCGATTTATTTTCCTGGTTTCCATTGACCTTACAGGTATAAACACTCAGTCATGTTCCAGTCGTCTATCAATTGATGCTGAGGTGTGGTATCAATTAGTGTCAGCCAAGCTTGTTACCATGGACATAACCTAGAGTGTGAAACTGACCACTGTGTAACTGACCACTGTGAAACTGACCACTGTGTAACTGCCTATATGGAACACTAATTGTCTTCTGGTTCACACAAGCTAATTAAAATCAATGTTGCTCAAAACCAGAAATGCTGGACTGATTTTTTCGTCTTTAATATTGGCTTATGCTGTCTACCGGACAATTGGCAGGATTAATTGACAGGATTAATTGTCGTCACAATGTTTCACGACTAGGTACAGCCTATCAGCTGCCCATATGAACATAGGCGATTGGTCAGTGGCTGGTCATTGCAGATATTCTAAGGTAGATATAAAATATTGAAAAGAAAAAAATAGCTGCCAAAGGGTAGTTACGTTGCCCTAACAACCATCATTAAACCCGCCACTGAAGTCAAGTTATAATTGTGTGATTAAAACATGAGGTTCCTTGTGAAACTTTATTTATTGATTGTTATTTGTAAATTAATCAACTAGTTTCATTGATGTACATGTACCCCGTAACAATGAAGTTTGTCATCGTTTAACAATGAAAGGGACAATTCAATAAGAATTTTACAATGGGCAATGTGTTACTGTATCACCAGTCCGGCTGTTTACCTGCTACATGTAACTGGATAACCCCCTCGCCGACTGTTGGTGTGGGGAACACTGTAGACCCAGGGGAGGCGGTGGAATTGGGGTGATATACTTTCTAAATGAACCATAGATATGTATACATATATATACCTGGCGTATATAAATATAAACTTTATTTATTTTACAACAATTATGAAACAAGTTATTTCAACTTATATTAATCACTCTTGTTGGACCGGATGTTCGCGCGTAGAGGTCTTAGTGTGGGAGGAAACCGGAGTACCCGGAGAAAACCAACGTGTTCGGGCAGGTGACCCCAACCTTTTCACGTCCGATCGGGGAATCGAACCCCGGCCGCCTTGATGAAAGGCAAGTGCGCTATCCACTGCACCACCCGACCAAGATATTATGAGTTTTTCAGTTAAATGATTTTTTCTTTACTCTTTCAAATTTCATATCATGAAGAACTCCTTTCATTATAAACAGTTATTGAAATATGTACTTCAGTCTTTTAAACTTGGGTAAACACTGTAGTGCACTGGAGTTCACATCATTGTGCACTGGAGTTAACATCGTAGTGCACTGGAGTTAACATCGTAGTGAACTGGAGTTAACATTGAAGTGAACTGGAGTCATATATGTGCACTTCAAATTGCACCGTATACCAAGCTAAGTTTGCTCCCAACTATAGTCAATGAGAGTTACGCTCATAGATTCAACGAAAGGAAATATCAACCAAGCTCACTTAATTCTTTTTTTTTTAAAGTAAAACCTCATTCCACAACCATGGTTTACAAGTGTTTTTGGACATGGCGACAAACGGACGTTTAATATAATGCTGAGTTTTCAAATAAAAGTAAACCCATTGAAAATCAATTCTCGGATATGTATCTGTTTATGATCTCAACAGTGATATCTGCCTATATACTTTATAGTTAATATGAGTAATGGCCACACACAAAGAATATAGAGTATCATTATTAACTGAAAATCAAAACAAAAGATATTTAGGGTCACATAAAACAAGGACAGTAATCATTCTAAAGACGACTACAAATATAAAAGGTATAAAGGGCCACATAGTAGAAATATGAGAGAGATGACCATATGACAAACACACGTGATTGCACCTATAAAACATTGTAATAGATGCAGTATGCCAAAAATAAATTTCACTGCTCTGTACAATATTTTTAAAGGAAACTAAAGAATAAAATGGTCACATGATTGTAAAGGAGCAATCATCATTAACTAGCTATAAACAAATGGAATCAATGACCTAATAGAATACGTCATTTAAGGAATATAAATATAAGAAAATATAAAGCCACGCATAGAGTCAGATCCGCCAACATTTTCAGGACTGTGAATATAAGGCAACATAAGGTCTCATAACAGATTAAGAGCGACCATTTAACGGACTATGAATAAGAAATATAAGGCCACACAATTGATTTTGTGCCAGCATTTTAAGGACTATGAATAAAAGGCAACATAAGGGCACACATATAAATAGAGCAGCAACCATTTTACGGACTATGAATAAAAGGCAACATAAGGACAAATATAAATAGAGCCAACATTTTAAGAACTATGAATTAAAAGGAATAAAATGCCACGCAATAGAAATAGAGCCACCATTTACGGATTATGAATTAGAGGCAACGCAACATAAGACAACAAATAAAAATAGAGCATTTTCTTTTACAGATTATGAATAAAAGGAAATATGTGGCCATCCAATAAATTTAGTGACAGCATTTTAAGGGCTATGCTTTAAAAGGAATATAAAGAAATAATTTGAAGTACTATGATTAAAAGTGAACATATTGCCACATAATAGATACCGTTGGAAGTAAAAGAATTCTAAAGAAAAGGAAAATCAATCATATGAAAAACTGTTTGTTTTCCTCACAACAACACAGGTTAACCATTTCTAAAGTTGTTTAATTTTAAACCAGCTGTACCCGAGGTGAAAACCTAACACTAATTTCCAGAGTTTTTTTCCTTACGATAGCAATATAGTGTTTCATTAACAAATAAGGTTGTTATCGTAAAGATTGCTGTTTTGATCGAGACGAAGCCTAGAAGGATATTGGCGCTCACCATAGAAAGATCTTTATCAGATCTACAAAAGATGATATTTTCCTTCTTTGCTCTTCAGTTCCGTTATAGGTACTATCGCCCCTCTACGTAATTTATGAGAAAAGGCAAAACTGTCCAAATCAAAGATGACCGCCTGTTAGCCATTTCGTTTATTCGATCAGTCTCAAGAGTTCGTATGCACAAATAAAGACCAAGGGAAACCTAACTATCTAATACGAGAATGATCTCTCCAGTACTGAGAAATAGCGATACAATCATTGAATGTCAAAGTCCAAGATGGCCGCCTGTCAGACATTTTGTTTATCCAATCAGTCCCAAGAGCACACATGCACAGTTAGAGACCAAGGGAAACCTATCCATCAAATACGAGAAATATCTCTCCTGTACTTTGTGATAAAAAGCGCTAACAGAAATTGTTTAAAAATGGACGAAAAACGACAGACGACGGACGGACGGACGACCAACTCAGGGTGATTTGAATAGTTAACCATCTGATGAATTACTGTTTGCGTCAGCGTTGCTTTTTTTTTTTCTCTTTTTCCTAATTTCAAGTTAATATGGGTCATATAACGACTCTGTCTCCACCTGCGATAGAGTGAAACTAGAGGGACTTGAGTAAGGCTTCCAGTGCTACTGAAATGACACCGTTGACACACCTAGTGACATCGCACATTGCCAAATAAGTGAATGGACTAATTACTTGTATGAAATGATACGTATTTCAGGGTTATAATGTCGTAAAACTTGTGACAGATTCATTGAGTGTATGTCACCCTGTCAAAAGAACCAAAAGGTTAATCACGTGTGTCAAATGAGACGTTAACTAACGAATAAACAAACGAAAGAATGAGCGAATAATATGCAAATCAGAGTTTTTTTTCGGGTTTTAACAGCCAGGTTCATGTGAGAACGGGGTGTGGTTTTGTATCAGTCTAATATAAAGTATAGTTGAAATCAATCTGAGCGTTTTTGTTCAAAGTTTTTTCTGCAAACCATTTCGGCAACAAATATTTTCAAAATTATTCTTTAGAGACAATCTGAACATTTACAAATATTTCAGTAATTTCTGTCCCGGATGAATTTTTTGGAGTCCTAATGATGTTGTTTCTTTTGGGTTTTTTTTAATTTCAGGATTTAAAAATGTAAAATATAAGATGAAAATATTGCACTAATTAAAGCGTTCAGCTAAAACCAAAAGTTTTAACAACAGAGCCATGTTCTTGAACGGATAACAAGGAGTTTTCCGTGTGATCTGTAAAAGTCATCATTGTTTGAGTTCAATAATGGGGTCAGAGGAAGGGGGGTTACTTACAACACCTTGGAGTCACGAGGAATGCCCGCAGGTACTTCAATGAACCCTTTGGAAGAACAGTTGACCAGGAGTCTATCATTGCTGAGAATCGAACATGGGCACGTGATGGTATTTCCAGGACTGCATAAGTTGTTATCCAGAAAGTTAGTCGTTGTAGACGAGTTGACTGGTAACAATACGACACACACCATGACTAATCCAACGGTCCAACTGGTCCTTAAAACGGCACATACTTTACTTCGTGTCGACATTTTCAAGAATGATATGAAATGAATGGTCTCCTGTTGAATATGTATATGTTGAATAATTGTCATATATATGTATCGAAAAAGTTGTGGCAAGTTATCAACCGAGATTATTTTTTTTCCAATTTCACACGCCTAACACTCAACAGCAGTTATTGGCGTGGGATGATTTGACATGATGTAATTTACCATCCTGTCCTCTTACACCTTGCCTTCCTGGGAATGCCGGATTTAAATCTCAATGATGACCCGATAATGTCCGTTATTAACAAATACCTGTATATTCACACAGGTAAAGTCTACTGTAGTAACGGCCAATCGTATAAAAATCCAAGTTAAGTTTTTCTCCACAACGTTGAAATTATATTGTTCACTTCGGGCACACCGTAAGGACCATCACACCTGGGTAGGACAGACAGACAGGTAACAGTCCCAGGTAAAACTGAACCCTGAAATTGTTACTTCTACCAGCATGGGTAGATCAAAGTAGATACACACCTTCTATATTGATTATTACCATGGGTCGGTTACACAAACTTCTATTGGCCTGGTCGCCGCCGACTTTTGTTTACCTTCTAAATAAACACACAGTGTCCCTTTACCGTTTCACATATGCATGTAGATATCTCCGTATGAACTCTCTGTGATGGGCTGTTATCAGCAGTTGGAACGTATGCCTGTTAAAATATAAACAACAAGATTACCGCAATGTCAACAAAACCGCTCAAGTAATTTCAAGTATACGTAAAGGAAAATAAAACATAAAAAAAGGTTGAATTGCTGATTTTTTTTCTTCTTTAAACAAATCACTGCTCTATATAAAATAAAGGCAAAAACATATTTTGAAGAAAAGAAAAAAAAGAAAAAAAAACCTTCAGCAGTGAAGTTAGAATTTTCACAACAGAACGAACTAAGTAGTTTATTATTATTGAATGAGTAATTAACTTTCAATTAACTTTCAAATAATTAACAAAGTCAACAAAATATATTTCATTCAGCGTGAAATTATTCTAGAGGTAAGTCATGGTAAGGAAACCGTCTTCTATGTACTACGCCACAAATCGTCAAACACCGTCAGGTTGCATAATAACCCTGTCAAAAAAACAGTAATTACTATGAGAACCATTTTAATTGTCAGTTAACTGAAAATTACAGTGTAGAGAAAGGTATTATAGTTACGTTATGTCATTATTAAAAATAGTTTGACAGAAGTAATTATTTTTCACTGTTTTCACCAGGCGTTGTACCTTGGACCTATGGTTAACTAGTCTGATGATTTGCCGAATGAGCTAAAGAGAAGTCTTCCCTAGCAGAACGGGTAGGAAGTGGCTAGTATTTTGCCAGTGTGGCATACTCCCTCTTCCAAGAATCAACTTGTCTCAATGTTTCCAGAAGAAAAAGGAATGCTACTTGGGAGAGAAATGCTCAGTATATTTCCCTGGTCCCTACATGGACGCAAGTTTAGCAGAGCTCAATATTTTTGGTATTATGTGTTAGGGCAAAGAACTCACATGGATTACAGGATTATATGGTTTGAATACATAAACTCTTTGATAAGTAAATATATTGGTAGGATACAAAAAACGTTAATATTCTGAAATAATACTTTAACGTTTGCATTGAATTTAGAATTCACACATAATAATATCCAGTATCTAAACATTCCTCTTGAGCATATACTACTTATATTCTCTTCAATCTACCCCATTCTACAAACTTTTGGCATCGCATTACATGTAGTCATGGCACGGTAGGCTAGTGGAAGGACGCCGGGCTCGTGACCGAAGGGTTGCGGGTTCGAGTCACGGCTCGGCATTGTGTTGTATCTTTGAGCAAGATACTTTACTCTACTTGTTCCAGTCTTCTCAGCTTTAAATGAGTACGTGGTTGAGCAGTGCTAGAATTGTTGAATGCTAGCTGTGAGCGCCGAAATAGCGGCACCGGCTGTATGCTCCCCAGGGAGTTGGGAAAGATATTGGCTAGTTGCAAAGGCCCTACAACAACGGATACTTTGTGAACCGCTTTGAGACGACCTACAAACTAGGTTGTGATAAAGCGCTATATAAGAACCTTGAATTAATATTATTATTAGTAGTATTATTATAAACGTTTTGAAATAGTTAACAGCTATTTTAATCTCATGGAACATTTTTTATAAAATCACAACCTCGTCTTAATACCCCGATGATAAGTTTCTCCTTGACCTTCAACCATGCCGAAACATATCTGTTTATCAGTACATTTTATACATACAAAGTTCCATGATGATAGGAAACCATGATTGGCACCCAACCTGAACTATGTTTCTAGGAAAAGACAAATCAGACGTGAACGCTGAGCAGGTCTCTAAAACATGCTGGGCTTTCATGTTAGGTGTCTATTGCTATTAGCCGATCCGAATCACAAGAACGATAAAAAACCCATTAACAAACAAACAGAAACTATATAGATCGAAATAAAAGCCATGTAAAACAAAAGTAAAAATGATAGGTGAATATAATGAACTTGAATGAGTTTGCTCTTGTCTAACGAAATAACATATTTTGTGGGGAGGCCAACAAATCGTCCTCATTGGTTTCATCAGAAATTCTTTAGTAGGGTACATATGGGATCATCAGGATGACTTTTCATCTTGACAAAGGATATCAAAGATACTGAAACGTCGTATTATTACACATTTAATCCTACTGTTTACGGAAGTATCATCATCCTGCATCCGAGATAATTTACTATGATGACACTTGTTGCTGCTAAGTGTCTGTTTCACCGTTGCTGCAATGAGCAACATCATTATCAATTCCAGGAGTAAAGACCTCAGTTTCATAAATGCCGTGTGACGTCAGTGGCGTTTGGTTATTTGCACTGCTTTGGCTTACAAGCAATGTTTTGCGTCTTTGATCAGAAACACTTAAATCGTTATAATATTAGTTGAAGACAATAAAATGATTAATTGATCCTCTATTGTTATGATAAATTGTTATTTACAGGACTGGACCAGTGTTCGAAAACATGACTACCGAATTTTTATAGATACTTTTTTGTGCATTTTTTTTTTTCTTTTTTTTTCTCTCCCTTTTTTCAACATTTTGGATTTCAATATTTGTCTCTACTTCCAACTGTCTTTTATAACCTTACACCTGTCTGGCCAATACTTTCTTTTTTGACAAGAGGATTGTGCGCAGGTTATCAACATTATCAACGCCTTTTTCTCAAATACACTACAGATTTACAAACCTGAAAGTAGCTTAGGAACATAATTTTTTTCACAACAGTAGAGAAAAGTATAACAAAACCAGAGCAAACTTCAAACGGTCACATAATTGAACTTAAAAAACATTACACCTACCTCTGGATTTTATAAACAGTTTGGCACGTTTCGAAATAACTCAAACATTGTTTAAACAGGGGGAAAACATGAATATAACTATAAATACAGTACAATTAAATATGTTTTGTCATCAAATTGTTCGTCATCAGACAAATTAACCGTCATGTGGTCAATACGTAAACCGTACTCACCTTACTGAGTGTAAAGACATGAAGCCAAACTTTTACTGTGGCGGCTAGATCAGGCAAAGATTGTATTGTTCTAGATCCGCTTTAGCATGGAAGGTTTACGAAGCCTTGATAGGCGTATAGTAAACAATTAATCACAAGGTAAAATTCAAAGTTAAAATGGTGGCAGTCAATTGTGTATGACTTCTGTGTCCTTACAACAAGGCAGACTATTTGTCATTTGTCAACAACAGTGTCATAAAGCTTGTCACCGACTACTTTAGGGGATCCGTTCTTGTTTCGTGTTGACAAAATGACAACATATTGTTTTGGCTTCCTTGTCACTATCGTCATGAACGTCCATGGCGGGTAAAACTAGAAGCTAATGGTCGGGAGGTTCCACAATTTCAGAAGTTTTGAAAACTGTAGAATTAGCATTTCTGACATTAATACTGTCTATCTGCAGTAATTTATTTGAGTGTCTTTCGAATGTTTTCTTCTTCCGAGCTTTTATGATGACGTATATAGGTAACTAGCTTCCGTCTTGCTAATGTCAATTTGCATGTATAAGCTAAATCGAAAGTATAATTTTTTGGTAGATTGAACTGGAAACTGTAATCGAACGCATTGGAATTACAATCGAACGAACTGGGACGGACTACTCTATTCATAGAATGGAGAGTATTCATGCATAGACGGCACTAACAACTTCAATCAAACGCACTGGAATAATTTTATTACAGCAGGTATGAACAACAATTGAACGCAATGAAACTTCTTTATCTTTATAAGACTCAGAAAACTGCAATATCACGCACTTGAACTACAATACAACACACATGCAAAAAGAATATAACACATTTAATTTGCAATCGATCGCAAAGAAATTACTTCAATACTTAATTCATCGAAGGCAGCTACAATAGAACGCAATAAAAAAAAAGCAATTTAATGCACATGAACTACTTTATTTATCGAACACACTGATAAGTCGTGCGAACGCTTTGACGCTTTGACGACTACAATTGAAATACAAAATGACAAAGTTTAATAGATATCTCCTTTCGTCAAACCGGGCATTATTTGTCCAACTTTGCGTCATGTCATCCAACCATTCGTCATTTCACCAAATTTCATGATAATCGTTCTCCAATTTCATAACCAATAACTAATAATATATCCTTTCTTCACAGAAAAACAAAACGGGAGGACCACCCAAACTGCCCAACTACAACTCTTTTGGCTCTTAATGAACAAATTAGCCACATGGTGTAGTACAAAGTCTGTTTTGTTTGGCTTTCTTCATAGACAAGCTAAAATATTGCTAGTAAGTGGGTGTTCCTTAATTCGTACTGTTTATAATTGTGTCTGTGCTGTATATCCTATCGTTAAACAGTGACCTGTATCCAGCAAATATCCCTTTCGTCCAAACACATGTGTTTTTATCCATACTTTCGTTCAGGACACATTGTCTTTTCATTCCATAATCTTGTATAGTGCATCCCATTACGCGATCATATGTTCTGCTAATTAATCTTTATTTTGTCCAAACAAATCAGTTAATTACACGACATTAACTAGGATAGAGCCCGTACGAGATAAACATTATAGAAGATGTGTGTAGGCTTAAGACGCTCGTGCTGTCAGAAAGCCACACTTTGTATAGGTATGTAACATGTAAAATTATGATAATACAATACACAGAGCAGGCATGAACTTCAACACCCAAAGTAAACCGATACAACGCCCACTGTCGCTTCTATCAAATTTCTGATGAATGATTACTGATAGTGTACATTGTGTAGATGATCCACTAGGGTAGCCTCATCCAGGTATCGTACGACACTCATGTAGACAGAAAGTAAAAAACAAACTCTTACCTTGTGTGAGAGATGTGCATGCTTACACCAAGTAACTTATGCAAATTAGCAGGTAAAAACTAACATCACGTGTGTAATTTAATGAAACATATAATAAGTCACGTTCGAGTGAGTTTTACTTAACTCTAGCAACACGTAGCTTACTAGTCAACTTTCATCAACTCGAAATAATGAATAAGATTGTTTTAGAAATCGTTCTGCGTTCAGTGGAGACAAACTAAATTAGTTTTTGTACAAGAATATTTCTGATGTCCTATTTTATGAACATTCGTGATTTTATGCTCGAGGTAAAAATTAAATAT